ATGCTGCAGTTGAAGCAAACACACAACTTAAATAAACAGACAAACAAATAGATTTGGTCTGTGTGTGCTTTGTATAGATGTGTGAGTGGACTGTGTGTATGTAGTGTAGCTCGAGCTGTGCATAGACCAGGGAAGAACTTTGTGCTGTTGTATCAAACTCTCTTGACCTTGTTCTAAAGGGCAGGAAGCACCAGTGATACTCTTTTTTCTACAGCCACATTGTGAAGATAATCCGTGTTCAGAGCAATGCCTATCTTTCCATGGGTGCGTAGGTGCCAGGAACTCAAACTCAGGTCCTCATGCTTACAGGACAAGCACTGTTGCCCACTGAGACACCCCAGTTCCCTAAAATACCAAATAAACTTACCCTCAGACTATATTATGAAATACATCTGAAACATGAATTTCACTCTTTGACTTACATTCAGTCTGTAAGTCACCCCTTGATGTGTATGCAAGCGTTTAAAAAGCAACATTCAACAAATCTGTCCTTTTTCACTTCAATGAGTGATGTTCATCCCTTCTTGCTGTGCTTACTACGGGCTTTTAAGTGTTGCACTCCTCCTCTCTGTAAGGTAAAATGTGTTTTCAGCTCACTTGAAGCTCTTATTTTGAAATCAATAATTACAAACTTAATTATAAACTATCACTTCTGTACTTCCTCAAACATCATTGACTGTGGCCATCATTTCTAGCTATAGCTTTGGAAGGAAACAAGCAGGGGGGAAGCCTTCCTACTAGCATTTCCTATTTGTAAATATGAAAACAGGCTCATGCCCCTAAGTGCTGCAAACAGGCTTTAAAAAAGAAAAAAAAAAAAAAAAAAAAAGGCCTGCACATGTTGTCAAACAGCCTGGATGACTTTTGACCTGATTTAGCATTATTTGAAGCAGCTTACTGACACTGCCAATAACATCTCACATAATAGAACACACATCTTGTAAGTGAACCACAGACAGTGCAGAGCAACCTAAAGAATCCAGGAAATCCATGTTTCAAATGTAAGTTGCTCAAAGAGAATAGCTACTGAAGGATCTGGAGGAAGACCCTGATAGCGCCTCCTGTACATGAAGTGCCACATTTTTGAAACCTTTTTGCTTTCTTCTCACGAACTTGCATTTTTTTTTATTAAAGTCTATGATTTTTTTTGAATCATCACATTTAACAAAAGTTTACCTCCCTTTCTTTCAATAAAGATTTAGTCTCACTGGATATGCTTAAGCCATAGAAACAGAGCATGCCTTCCAAAGACTGGATGAAAGAGACAGACAGTCTTTTAGAATAGCAGGTACCACTCTAATCTGAAGCTTGTACTGTCCTTTCAATCTGAGCAGAGAAACAATTAATAAAGGAACCCATTAAGACCTGATTATTGCAGCTAAAAAAAGGAAGGTAGAATTTCAGTCCTTTGAAGTAACTGAGAATGATTCAGGCCTCATTACAGAGATATAATCTACATTCATACATTTATGTTAGTGATTCAAATCTATTGGGAGAGATTGGATTCCGTTAAATAGTGCATCTTTCCTGTGGAACTTTTCTCAGGCTTTCTGGGGCTAAGCTGAGAGGTGACTTACAATACAAAGTGGTGGGGGATTTGTGGATTCTACTGTGCTGTAAAAGAAAGGGAGTACAGAAAAGAAAAAGAAGACTGTGATATAATCTAAAAAGCCATGTCAGCCTCTCCTTTGGGCAGTTTAGTAAATGCTCTCCCTGTCATCAACACTGTACAGAGGAGAGGAGAAAGCACTTCAGAAGTCTCAGACACTGCACCTGCTGCAGGCGAGTTTCCATATGAACATTTTGAGGATGGCTTTTCCCCTCATTTTAGATAGAATTAAGGTCAAACTCTTAGCTAGAAGATCTGAATAGCTTCTACTGGAATAGATAAGTGATTGTGTGTGTGTGTGTGTGTGTGTGTGTAAGAGAGAGAGACAGAGAGAGTAGAGGAGAAAGAGAGAGAGAGAGAGACAGAGAGAGAGAGAGAGAGAGAAGAGAGAGAGAGAGAGAGAGAAAAGTGTTGGGCTGAATGAGTGTCTGAGTGTCTGGTGTGAATTAAAAAAGAAACACTCAAGTTGGCATCAATAGTGTTGATGCTCAGTGTAAAGAAACCCCAAACTAATTACTTCCTGTGGTTCATATATATATTTTTTTTACAAAAGCATCTTTATTGTATGGTTTCATCAAATATATTTTTAAATGTAGTTTTAATTAGTTGTCAATTCAAACATTTGAATTCTTCTTTCTATGAGGATGCAACTTAGCTCCCTTAGAAATTGTCTGCTCCTTCACTCATTTGTCTGTTCAGGTATAAAACTGTGAAGTAGGAAATTGAAATTAGCACTGTGGGCTCATTTTTCAATATCCATACTTTAATTAAAGAAGCAAAACTTCTTTGACGCATGCTCTTTATTTGCTTAACTTTTCAATTAATAGCTACAGAAATCAGCTAATTATATTAAAGTTAGAAATCTGCTGTGATGTTCGTCACATTGTTGAAATCTTTTGAATAAGCATTGCAATGAGTTATAAATAATGCAATTAAAATCCCAATTCTGGTATTAAATAGTTCTATTTCAAAGGCACTGAACACACAGGAAAATATAAGACCATGCATTCAAAACATTCTTCAAGTCACTAAAATGTATTTGGGCAATCATTAACAATGCCTATCTCTAGAACTTTTAAATTTTAATTTTCTTTCTCCAGTTCCCAATGAGGACTGAACCGGAATGCTCATGACACTGTTCTTGAGTTGTAGGTGCAAAACTCCTTTTGTTAATTCTTTCTGTTTTAGTTGTCTAACTCTCAAGTTCACCTTGAAATGCCTGCATCTTACTCAGCCTATTAGGTTGAACCAAGTGAAATTGCCACTTTCCTAAAAGGAAAGCTGCAAGATATTGACAATTTGTTTTGCTTAGACAGGACACAGATGTCTAACTACCTCGAACAGCAGAGTAATATATGTTCATGCATTCCTGCCAGTCAGTCGTTCCCTAATTTAGATATTTTCTAAAAGACGTGAACCCCTGGAACTCAGAACTAACTGTATCACACTAGGCAGGAATGGGTTATCACAGTATTTCCTTGTGTGTGTGCCTTTTGATTCTGGGCAACAGCTTCCTGGTCTTCTGCTGACTTCTGTCTGCATCTGGGTTAAGAGCTGGTTTCTGTGAGCAGCGGTAGAGTTGGGGGTTGGTGTGTGCTGAAGTGTGAGTGGAAGATTTGTAGGTAGTGAAGCTGCATTGTAAAATATAACCCTTTAAACATTAAATTTGAAGATGGGGGACCTCCTCTTTATGGTAAAATGCAAAGGAAATTGCTTAGAGAAGAAAACAGGCAGCAGGGGATTTGGTGAAATTGTGTGATAAAATCTGCGATCGCAGGGAAGTGCCTAGGCTTTGAAGCCCGTGCGTGATTCTGTAAAGGACTCATGTTAGCAATTAGAAATCAGTAACTCGGGTCCCTGATTTCATTTACGCCAAGAAAGAGGCGATGTTTAAGGGTGACGATAAATCTCCCTGAGCTTAAAAAGACAGAGAGGGCCAAAGTGTGAACTTTTTTACTTCAGCAACGGAAGCGAGAAATCAATGATTCATTAAAACCCGAGACCTCCTTGGAAGCTGGCAGGAGAGGAGGAAACGAAGCAGCTCATTATGTCTCCCTTTTCGACTCTAGCTCCTATCAGTTTATAATCTGCTCTTGGGGGAGAGTTTGCCCTGAGCATCCTCTACTGCTCTTTCTCCCCAGCCCTCTTCCCTGCTTCTGGGACCTGGAGGGGAGAAACGCACACACACACACAAAAGCCAGGCTCCAAACTCCATTTTCACAGCCAAAGAGGGTAAAAAAGAAAGAAAAAGAAAACGACACTGGAAAACAAGTGAGCAAGGGGCTCCCGGGAGGGGAGTGGTTCCCGCCGGAGGGCAGCAGATTTCGGAAAGCACGCGGACAGCTCGCGCTGGTGGCCAGCGCTGCTAGCACAGGACGCTGGAGCAGCAATTAGCTAGAGCTGCAGGCTGCGGGGCGGCTGGCCCACAGAGGCTGTGAGGAAGGGACCCGCAGCCCCCAGCTCTGAGCAAAGGCATCGCGCACTAACTCTCGCCTGGGCTCTCCCCCCTCTCGGCCCCTTTCCCCCTCCCTTTTCCCTGGCGTTCCCAGCAGCTTAGGGTTTCAGATGTCCCACCGCCGTTTGACCCCCTCCCCCGCCTTCTCCACCCCTGCAAATGAGGTTTGACCAGCAGAGTTAGAGCCCACCTCTGGCTGAAAAGCACTGACATTTAGACTCCAGGCTTCAACCTGTTTACAAGCGGCTTTCTAAGGGACTTGGAGGTGGAGGGGAGAGCCAAACTAAACACCAGCCGCCAGCCGCCCCCCAAACAAGAAGTGGCTTTCGGGAGACTTCACATCAACAGGCACCACCAAAAAGAGAAAGGAAGAAGAAGAAAACAACAGTGCCTGGGCAGCTGCCTCCGGTTCTGACAACTCCAAAGAGACACACTTTTTAAGTGGCCAGCAGGCTGGAACTCTGCAGAGAAGGACCAGAAGGTGCCAACCGCAGAGGGGCGCAGATGTCTTCCTGCACCCCCACCCCACCCACTTTGGGTTTTGTTCACCGTGCTGTCATCTGTTTTTCAGACCTCTTTTGCATCTAACATGGTGAAGAAAGGAGTGAAGAAGAGAACAAAGTAACCCCCGGGGTGGGGGGAGCGGAGCGCTGGTGACCGACACCACCAGTTCCTACTGCTGCGGCCACCCACGTCCACTGTTAACCAGAGACTGGAGAGCCACAGGCAGCGGATCTGAGAACGGAGCGAGGACAGGCAGCCGGCCCTTCCGAGGAGTTATGGATGTTGGTGTATTCGCTTCTGGCCAGATCCGTATCCGGAGGGAGCTAACCAGTAGCCACCACCTCCAGCTGTCTCTTTGCCTCGCACCAGGTCTTACCCTTCCAGTATGTTCCTTCTGATGAGACAATTTCCAGTGCCGAGAGTTTCAGTACAATGTGGAAATGGATACTGACACATTGTGCCTCAGCCTTTCCCCACCTGCCGAGCTGCTGTTGCTGCTTCTTGTTGCTCTTCTTGGTGTCTTCCGTCCCTGTCACCTGCCAAGCTCCTGGTCAGGACATGGTGTCACCGGAGGCCACCAACTCCTCTTCCTCCTCCTCTTCCTCCTCCTCCTCGTCCTCCTCCTTGTCCTCTCCTTCCAGTGCAGGGAGGCATGTGCGGAGCTACAATCACCTCCAAGGAGATGTCCGCTGGAGAAAGCTATTCTCCTTCACCAAGTACTTTCTCAAGATTGAGAAGAATGGAAAGGTCAGCGGTACCAAGAAGGAGAACTGTCCGTACAGTAAGTAACAAATGCGTGCTCCTCTCTTTCCAATTATCCACCCCCACCCCACGCGGGGAGGGGGGGCAGAATCTGTTCCAGATGTGGCCAGCTAAATATTTATGTCCCCAACCCCTGTAAAATGATGAAGTGGAATACTTTCACACTAAATCAGCCCCCTCCCGAGTATACATTGTGCCGCAGGGTTCCCTCCACCATAGAAGCCTCTTCCACATCCCTTGCCACCCTATTCTCCATCTCTAGTTTGTCACTCACAGGACCACTCCGGGTGCCCTGGAGTTGTTGCTGGTAGGAGATGCCCCATTCCGTCTCCAATACCTTCCCCCCCATCTCATCCAAAGGTCTCCTTTCCCTCCCTTCTGGAAATGGCTCAAGTAAACACATTTTGTTTCCTTTTGCTGGCAATCTTAAGAGTTTTGGGACAAGCTCCTAAAGCTGAAAATAATTACCCACTGTCAATTACAGGGGCTTTATAGGACATTTAAGGAAGAAGACTCACTTCCACTGTCTCCTGGCCCCCATCTTTTGTCCCACCACTTCTAGATAGAAGCCAAAAGAGGTTTTTTCCCCCTAGTTTTTCCTCGTTTTGGTTTGAGTGATTGCAGTCCATGAAGTTAGCTTTTCGGGCAGCACCACCGCTGTTTGTCTCTTGCCTGCCTTCTCTCTTGGTAACATGATGCTCATGTCTGCATTGTCAATAGCATATGCGCTGCTTTGTGGTGTCTTGTTGTACTGTTTCTTCTGAAACCTCTCATATTGCAGAGGCATAGTACTACAGCATTGTAAACATCTGGGACTGGATTCACACAGACCTCACACAAATTTCATTGTCATTCTTTTATTTTCAAAGTAAAAGCCTAAGTCTGTTTCCAAGACTGTATCCCATAGGGCGAGGTTTGTCTCCCAGCACACATTTCTGCAGGGGATCCTTGGAGCTCTTTCTTTCCCTTTTCCTTTTTCACTGGTCTTTCTTTCCATCATTCTGTCTTGTGTGTGCAGGGGGGTGGGGGAGTGCTGAATAAGGGGGAGGGTGTGGAGGGAAGGGGTGGATACCACCTCTTGTCTTGAACCAACCCAGGCAAGCCAGATTATTCTATTGGCTTCCCTTCCTGATTACTTTCAAGTGCTGAGACTTATTCATCCTCCATTGATTGTTATTTAAAGGGATTCCCAACGCTATGTAATGGCACACTGAAGACAGTAGACAATGACATTTAAACATCTTTAATGACCACTTGGCTTTATCTCTTTGGTAAATTCCAAGTCACCTTTGAAGGGTAACGTTTTTGTGTTAGTTGTTTGGGATTTCCAAGCATATACTGGCCAACAAGCTGAAATATATGAGTCCCTCATTTTAGATTTTTTTTTTTTTAACTCAGAGTATATCAGGTACTGATGAAAATGACAACTGACCAGAATTTAGCATTTCATTTTTCAATAAAGATTACATAAATTAAGATTTAGTTTTCTTCTTGGGGGACTCACAAACAATCCAACATTAACTTTATCCATCTTCAGTTGCTTTCAACCTAGTTGCTCATTAAAATTAGCAATATGTTTATAAGCAAAACATTTGCAGAAGCATTTGAAGTAATCTATGCTAGGTTAAGTATTGGAAATACTAAATACTTTATTACATATGCAAATATATTCATTCTGATGCTTAGAAAGTAGCTGAAATAGTATCTTTAATGGTAATATCTTTTGAAAGTCTCCTGCCACTTGAGCCCTATACATACTGTACTATAGGTAGCTTTTATGGTTTGCAGATCCTAATTTAATATTTTTTGCCTACTTTTAAAAGAAACTCCAGCAGTGTTGCCCAGTTAAAGGAAGAACCTGCCTCCATACTGGGCTACAGTGTTTTCTCTTAGGCTGGTTTTCTTTAGTTCATATGGAAAACATGAAGAGATTGAATCAAATGTCTGAGTTTTAACCTTGAGCTTACTTTCCTCTTTTTAATGTTTTGATAATAACTCAATCTTGCTGTTACTGTTGTGTTTTTTTAAATGTGGTATAATGATCAACCTGTAGATATCTTAGTTTATGACTATTTTGTAAAATAATGATTCCTGTTCCATGAACTACTTAGTAAAATGACTCCCAGGGAACACATTGAGTTTTATTTTTACAATATGAACTATCCCAAATGAGAAAATTATGCAACTTTTATTGCATAAACAAGTACAGCAAATTTCCATTCTAACATTAAAAAAATAGACATTATCTCTTTTGTGGGATTAAATATGGTAATTACTAATAGTCTCTTTTGAAATTAAAGGCTAAATATATAAGAAGACTGTCTTAATTAATGGTTTAAAAGTGAAGGAGGGTGGTTATATTGCTACATATTGTCAAACCATAACTAATTTAAGCTTTCCAAGAACGTGTGTATCAAAACATAGCAAGTGAAAAGTACAGTTTAAAAGGTCCTTAATTTCACATGGAGCACAGTACTTAGAATGCAGCTAACATTCCCAGTTGGACTGATTGACCTGAAATACATAGTATCATTTATATATTCTTTAAATGTTGCATAATTGCACATAAGAAACATTTGCCACACCCAAAGGGTAGCCAGCCAGCCAGCACACCAAATAGTAGCTGGCTAAATATTAGGATATCTAACCTCTAAAGAGTGTCAGTTCCTTGTCCAAAAGCCCCATTTTGGGACCATTTTCCTAAACAAGATATTAATTAGTCCCAATACACAAAGATGTTCTGTTGAGTTTTGCTTATTAGAAGATTAATTTTCTTTGTTACCTTTGACCCTGGTATTAATGTTGCTAGAATACCATCACAGCTTACCTAAGGGGTTATGCCTTGGGTAATTAAACAGCTGTTTCACTGGCTCATTGCCACAAAATGCTAACAAAAGAAAAGAAAGGAGCTCACTCATAAGTATTGCAAAAATGATTTTTTTTAACTTCATCTTCCAAAGCTAACACCTTGTTTTGAATATATCTGAAAGTTCCACATGTGTTAAAGAAACTCTTCTCAACTTAAGTGATTACTCAAGCCTTTTTCTTTAGAAGAGTGGTGGGGTGGGATGGGGTGGGATGGGGTGGGATGAGTGTGTGTTTCTTTGCTCTTTGCTATTATATGGGAGTAGAATAAAGATAGTAGTAGTGAATTATGTTTCTCCTGCTAGAAGACTAAGGAAGCTTGAATAATTGAGACTAGCTATGGTATATCTGTCACTAGATATGTGCAGGCTCATTAGGTTTTGTTTTATCATGCCTTACATCTAGAGCTTTGCCCTTGAAACATTACCACTCAGCTTTGGTTCTGACCTCCTAGAAAGGCTGGATACAGCTGTTAGGTCCCCTTGCAAATGGGACTGCTTGACTTATTTCTAGACATGAGTAAAACAGCTGTGAGCTTCTCCCATGGTTGTCACTTGAAGAACAGAAGAATCTAGCAAAAGGAAAATGTATCCCAGAACTACAGACAACTAAATAGATGTTCCCAATACAGGCTCCCAGAGCTTATGGGCCTTTCTGAGAAAAGCATATGAGAGGCAAGGAATATGTAACACACAATCCCTCTTTTTAAATATGTATCCCACTTAGTACTCATAATAGCCACATGGCTTTGATAAAACTATATACATTTTAAAGTATGAAAATAAAGGTTGGAGGAAGTAAAGTTTCCAATCACTCAACTGGAAAGTGACAAAAGGATATTGCAAATCTAACTCTATCTGGCTATCTCTCCTTGTAGGTTATAGCTCTCTGCTAATCTGAACATGAATAACAGTTTATTAGAATTAAAGCAAGCCACTCCCAACCTCCTAAAAATGAATCTCTTAAAACTTGTGTTGCCTTTTGCTGTGAACACTAATAGGTTTCAGTCTTAATTGGATGAGAAGTAAAATGACCGTGGGAAAAAAATAAAATGTCAGAGATGATAAGTGCAGGTGGCCACATGGTACCAGACAATGTCAGTGTATCATCCAGGTCAGGCCTCTCGATATTCTGCTGTGGACACACACAAAGTACACATGCATCAATCTCACTTATGTGAACAGGGGTCATTAGGAATACATGGCTATTTAAGAAAATCCATGAATGTCATTGTATATAGTAATTGTTTACAGCTGAGGGCCAAATGCTTAATTGTTCCCATGTGCAATAAAATAATTTGATTGTAAATACCTGTGGGAGCTTAGGCTGTTGCAGGAACTTCTAACACATGACTCTACAAAAAGTGACATTATAGAGACCTAAAGCCAGAGACAGAAATGCTGTAAAATGAATGGGTAAATCAAAGAGATATTTTGCTACATAAAAATAATAGATTGTAATGCTAGACTTAGCACTAAGAGCTTGCATTATTATTTTTAATCAGGAATTTAATCAGGAATCAGTTTATTATTGAAGGAAATTTTTAAAAGTTGTTGAGGAAAGAACTACAGTATTGTCTCATATTAAATACTCAAAAGTTTTCTGGAATGTGGTGGGACTCCTATGGGCAATTTATGGCTTCCACTGGTGTCTTATTTACAATTGTGATTCTTTCTAGAATTTGCTTGCAAAATTTATAACCAGAAGCATTTAATCATCAGCCATGAGGATTTATGAAGATGGAAGGCACTGTATTTAATGTTTACATGACACTGTCCTATTACCTTTACTGCATCTGTACCATGTGGCCCCTCCACTTTGATGGCTTTATCATAAATCCATTAAAATGCACAATTTGAGAGTTTCCTCTTCATAAACCTGATTTATAACCACCTACTAGAAGAACCCAAAAAACCAATTGGCTGGAATGCTGGTATTGGAGAGGGAGAATTCAGGCACCAAACTCTAGGTCTTGGGAATGTCAGTAACCTGGTACCTGAAGGTACAGTCCATTCTTTAAAAGCATGTGATTCCAAAATTATGTTTAAACATATAATTTTTGAAAAAGAAGGGTCATATTAAACCAAAGTTCATTGCACATTTTCTTGTACATTGCCACTAACAGCTTATAACATAAACTCTTATTTGAGTGTG